TCGTGTACAGGAAGCCACGTGGTACTGTTCGTGGAGAAACCTTGAAAAAAAAATTAATCAAATCATGTAATTCTGAAAAAAATTTGTTTTATAACAAACACCCAAGTACCAGCTGACGTCGTATTATCCCACTGGAACGGAGTCCTTTCAGGATCCCTAGACATACTCTCATAATTCTCCTTCCCCGCATTACATCCTTGAGGATCCTGAGTATCTTCGTACGATATCCACTTGTTCTCCATACCGATCTCTTCGCCGTTATAGGCCACGCTGACTCCCGGAAGCAACAGGAGCATAACGCTAATAGCCTGGGCTATGTTTTCATCGTAACGCGAAACCAGCCTGGGCTTATCGTGATTTCCAGCCTATGAGAGTTTCAAAATTTTTCAGTACCTCGACTATGCATTGCAATTAGCTAATACAAAACTATCAATAATCGTCATTAGGCATTACAATTAAAGAATTTTATTTATGAAACGTATTATATACTTAATCAATATTTAATTAATGTTCAATATTTGACTCACCACCCAGTTCGCAGTGCAGCCTGCTGGCATATCTTTCATCCACGAGTCAATGATATTTTTATAATCGCCAGCGCTCGAACTTTTACTCAGATTTTCGATGAACAAAAAGTTGAATGGAAAATGAGATCCGTAATTGTAATACTTCATGGTGAGTTCCGGGCTGGCGTAAGCCTCGGTCATCATGACGGAAGTTACGCCATTAGCAGCGTCAAAGGCGTCAAAGACGTCACGCCACTGTTGAACCATTTCGTAAGTTTCTTGTTGATTGGTCGTGTAGATGTGATCTAAGTAACCATAAGTTTCCGGATTGTCTGTATTGCCAGCCAGCGGCTCGTCCAGGTAACTGGTGTTCTCAAAGAGATGAGGTATTGCGTCGACCCTGAACCCATTGACTCCCTTTTCCAACCAGAATACAAGAACGTCCTTGAAAAAAATGGTTTCGTCAATTTTTTAAACCACTCGTATCTCACGCTAGTGACATAATGCATATTTTACTAGGACATTTCTGTGTCCTGGTTATACATCGGAAGCGTGTCTAACAGTCTAGGGAATTTATCATTTACGCGTTGTCTGATTAGACTTTTTCACTATTGGTTGTTACTACTTCGTGTAATATATATACATATACATATATATATATATAGTATAGTATAATATATGTCATTAGCTGTTATGAAGATTATCGCTGTCAATTCTTACACGGCTATTTACCAGGCAATTATTTATATGACATAGTTATAATGAATTGTTGTGGTAATGCGTATGAGTTGTACCTTCATCTCTTGTACGACCTTTTCGTTGTGGTAATTCAGATCCGGTTGGGCTGGATCAAATTGATGCAAGTAATAAGCCTGTCTCTCGTCTCGCCATGTCCATGCGGGACCACCGAATACACTGAGCTAAATAAAAAATGATGGTTGATTTTTGAAAATTATTTTGAAAATGATTTTTTGGCTTTCTGTATTTGTTCGATTATTGATAATATTTGTGCGATTTCTTTACCCAATTGTTTGGTTTTGCCATGGTGCCGTTACTAAGCTTCTTTCCAGGGTGCCATACGTAATAGTCATTGTAGGGCGCTATATTTTTTAAACTCTTCTGGAACCATTCGTGCTGGTCCGAAGTGTGGTTGGGTACATAGTCCATGATGACTTTGAGTGACAGCTTTTGGGCTGTTTTTATGAGATTTTCAAAGTCCTCCATGGTTCCGAACATTGGGTCGACGCCCTTGAAGTCTGAAATGTCGTATCCAAAATCGATCATTGGACTCGGATAGGTGGGAGAAATCCAAAAAGCGTCCACGCCCAAATTGACCAAGTGCGGAAGTTTCTCTTCGATTCCTGAAAAATAAAAAAATTGAGGATTAATGTTTTACAGTGAAAATTGATGAATTTTGGTAGATCGATATGGATCCTTGTTTTTTTGATCAATTACATGTAATTCGGATTCTGTTTAATTAGTCGTAAAAGTTTTGTTGCGTATGGGATTTATTGCGAATTTAGTAATTGTCGATTATCGATTTTTGCCAGGATATTTAATTTATCTTAATTATTATAAAATGTAGAGGGAAAAAGATTAATCACTAATTGCAAAAAAATTTAGGTCTGTCACAATGTGCGAATTGCACATTAGAATCTTGCGTAACAACTTTTAAGCAAATTGAAAGTTGTCTTGAATCGTATAAATATTTTCATTTAAAAAAAATGATCTCAACTTAAGCACAATGAATAAAAATAAAAAAGAGGCTCACCTTTAAGGTCTCCCACACCGTCGCCATCAGAATCTTTGAAACTTCGTGGGTATATTTGATACAGTGACATAGACTGCCACCATTCCAGGCAATTAATAGGGATACCAGCAAAAGTCAGTAATCCCAGTGTGAACAGTAGCTTCATGATATCTTTTAAAATCCACTGAACAGATCTTTTTCGATATCGTTTCCGTACTGATTACAGGATAAAGGCGCTGCTAGTTTTTAATTCTAGACGTAAATTCTAAATTGAATATTTTAGCTCGATAACACAGAGACTGGTATGGGATCGCTTCTGGTTCGCCTTTTTATACGCAGATGCTGGATGCACGCGGGGGTGTAGGTTAGTCGTATTGATCAGATATAATGATCAGATATGATGATAATGGTAATGGTGAATAATTTCCTATCGATAAGAATAATTTTCTTCGGTCTTACAGTGTCAGTTAAACGTATGTAAAGTATTGAAATAAATTGCATGAACAGTCTGGCTCGGTTGCAGAAGAAAATATTCGGGCACCTGAATATTTGCAAAATTGTTTTTTTTTTAAATTCACTCAAAGATTGCATCTTGATCATTACCACGTACTTTAAATTTCGTCGCGTTTCGCGCTCCACTAGGACTCGAATTCCTTGGTAATGATTCCAGGTATTGTAAGGAACAGATTTTTGTTTATTTAAAAAAAATCCTTATCACCTGTCAACTTTGCGTCAGTAGTGTAATAGTACTTCTAAACTCAAAAATGAATGATCTTTTGATTTCCTGGAAAAAAACGTATCACTCCGTTGAAAAAATGAAAGTTGATCTTCGAATTACCTTGACACCTGAACTCAGGAATGAATTCAATAACGAAATGTTCCGTCCTCCTTCAACTCCTACAACTTCTTTTTGAAAATTTTGTTCATATCTTCGTTTCCAAATAAATCGACCTGGCTACTAGAAATGGCTCACCCTGTATATATTTACTGCATCTATATATGATTATATTTACTATGTACCCATGTATAGGGTTATTCACACAAACTCATCACTTGAAGGTGGTTTTACCATAGAAATCCAATTGCCAGACTATCTTCAGGCAGTACGTTCGATGCGCCTGACCTTGCATATAATATATAAGATACTTGATTGGCCTAATAATTTAATTCAAGTTAATCCTATACCTCTTATCACGCACTTGATAAAACATATGACCTGCTGCTCGACATGCGACCCATCATGTTTACGTCTCTATTGATAATCATGAAGTACATGTCAAAATGATTCAATATCGCATAATCTACAAGTATTTTGAACTGTTTACAGTAATCCTAATTCAGAATGACAAGAATGATAACTATAGTGTAGTATCTTATCAGATAGTCAAAATTAAATTATGAAATTGTAAACAAGAGTACCGGTATAAAGTGTATTACATATATGGGCCTAAATATTAATTTTTAATTACGAATAAGCAAGGAACCAATCAGTTACCTATTTAATTAACTCTAATTCAACTGCAGTTGGACCACTTCGAATATGAGGTTGCTCAGTGGAAATAAATTAGACAGATCCCAATTGGGTCCAAACAGTGAAATAACAAAAAATAGCCTTTATAACACAACCAGGCCCCAAAAGTGCCCATACGACACTTTTACTTAATTTCGATTTTTCACCAAACTTTTTACACGGGCCTTACCTAATGATTCAAAGGATACTGTCAAAAAATGAATAAGTACTTTATACTCTTGTTTTTCGAAACGCAGGCAATAAGATAAGGTCAGCTCGTAAGATCTTCACCGATTCGATTAATGTGATTTAATTAATACAAGCAGCGGGAGTCGATCGTGCTGTCATCTAAACTGATAATAATTTTTAATGCTTGACATATTTTAAGCTTCTCTCGCTGTACATTCGGTATCTTCACACTCGTATATTCGTGTTGATACAATTTTCATATCGAATCTCGATACCAGGCAGTAGGTAAAAAAGTCAAGGAACGCACTTGGCATATCGGGTGCGATTAATTTGAATTATTTTTACGCACTAACAAAATTTATCTACCACTCAAAAGACACATTACGACGTATCACTGTGAACTGGTCTCATTTCTATTTCGATAGCCAAGTTTTCAAATAGTTAATCAGTTAGGTTAGTATGTGGCAGCGAATCAAATTGCCAATTTGTATATAGTGGAAGCTTGGAATTTTCTAGTGACGTCAAAAGCGTCGACGAAATAATTTCAGCTTGATATATTGAAATTAGTAACTGACGAGTGGTGGTAAGTAACGTGTATTATATTTTTTTTTCAAATTTAAAACAAATGAAAAATTCTCTAATAAAATATTTATATGTTGAAACTTATCTATCAAGAATTAATTTACGTATATTTACACCTACAAAATAACCATTTGATGTACCTATCGTTCAAGGTGGTACATCTTTCATGGAATAATACTTGACACCAACAGCAACAGATTTCGCAGCTTTTTTTTGCACGAATTACCTGCAACCGCTATACGTACTCGGTGTCCCTTTTTTATATCGGAAATGTTCTTGCAGGAGATAACATATTTTATTTCAACATCGGATTAACATTGATCCTGTCACGTTGTATCTTCACTTGTTAATTCTATTGATAAGTGTATTTCACAAACACATGAGTCACTGAAGATTTATATCAAATAAAAATTGCACGAATCGAATTCGCGTATCAATAGATTTTTTTTTTAAATTACCAATCAAATCGATTTTTTAACTTCAATTTCACAATTAGCATCTCGTACCCTAAAACGCATAGATTCCTCGTAATTCATTTATAACTATCAATTTATTTACAACGATATATTCCTATATTTAATATACGCTAATTTTTTGCCTTCATTATTTCTTTATTTCTGAATAACTCACTATATTCATTTTAACGTAAATTAACAGCAAGTGTCTTGGACATATAAATATTCGGAATTTGTGGATATCGAGATAACCATACCAGTTATCCTTCTTTTGAAACGCCCTGTATATAACATATGTGGACTCATGGGGCCCTCATATGCAGCTGACACGGGGTATTGTTTCACGATAACAAAGCAGAAACGATCGCGGTCGCTGATTATACGATGCCACGCGATCGCAGGCTAAATTTCGTATTACGCCAAGTGGGAGTCTCGTTCGTGTCGGCAGGCAAAGCGAATTAATTTTGCAATCCACCTCAAGCCCGTCGATCCGAAGAAGATGGGAATGAAAGAATGTACACGGTTAACTTACGTAAACCTGACTACAGTGGACGGCGATCGTGACGCCCTCTGGTGGAGGGAATTAATATTTCGAAAATCGGACAAAGCTACTGTTATTGTTTAGTGAAAGTTGTTTTTTATATTAATTTATACGAAATTAACAATGGTATAATATTTTTAATTTTTTAACATTTGGTTGTCAGTCTCTTGCGTGTCAAGTACGTGCATGTTGGACGTGAAAGAAAAACCTTGTAAAATTAAATATTTATGTGGGATTTCGGAAGAATCAGGCAGCCGAGAAATTAACGGTGGAACACTTTTAAGGAATAATATAAAAAGCTTATTAACCCCAATGGTGATTCGTTCTGTTACGATTTTCCGAACCCTCGTTCTCTTCATCTTCAGTCTCTTCGTTTTCTTCATCTATCTCTTCCTTGTCGGACTCATCGTCACTTGTCTCGTCATCTTCGTATCCTTTCAGCCGGTGTTCCAGTTCGGCTTTCCTGCGCGTCGTGGGTAATCCTCATTCTTCCAACCTTTGTTTAAGTTCGGCTACTGTTATCTTTTTAGATGATAGCGAAGACAAAAGAGTTTTCTTTATTGTGCCTCTGTCACAAGATGTTCCCTCTCCTTGGCCCTTCGGTCCATCTTTCATCCTCTTCCTGTCCGTTGTTTTTCGCGCTTCCTTCTCGACACCGGAGGCCACGCTCCAAAGAATGTCATTTTATTTTTTATATCATTACATACTTTTTTCTTTTTTTTTTTTCATTAACGAAAATGTATAATTCCCTCTAACGTACAGTACTGATTAGAAATTTTGTATACAAAAACTTTATTTTACTCTATATCAAATTAGTACACCCGTTACATCATTGGTATTCTGCTGGCTATAAACACTTAAGGACATAGAAATAACTTATTTAACAAATGGTACACGTATTTACAAAATTTGACTTCTAGCTCCAGTTTCCATTTCTTCTATTCCATAGAGAACGATGAAGATATATGACGTAATTACCAAGGCTTCTCCGCTGTTTACAGTTTGTCTGTAATATAAAAAAAAATATTAATCCTATTAATGTTTTTTTGAAAAGTTGAAATTTTTTTCAATTCATTAACATTATTTTTTATTATTATTATTATTATTGTTATTAACGAAAGATTTTCAAAATTAAATAGTTATTGACATGACATAATAGCGTGCTCATGCACATAAATCATTAACAACTGACGATTCATTGATAACGTATTGACAGTCGAAATTCCAATCGGGAATGATTAGTACATACGTGCAATTTACCATGCGGTTAATGGTAGACCAGCTGCAGCACTAATGCTGCAAGAATGGTGATAATCGCCGGTGTAAAGATTGTTGAAGATGATTCCTCTGCCTGAACATCAACATAGACAACGCAACCTCGAGCAGGAATAACGACGCTTTCAGGATTTACGTTGACCCTGAATTTCGAAATAAAATTTCCCAATAAATTTTTTTTTGAAAATTACATATCAAATAATTAGTCATAACGAAGCATTGTATTTCAATTAATCAAAAACAAGAATTGCTACTAACTTAACTTTTTTCAACCAATAACATTACTTAAGCCGTGCTTCAATTAGTATACAAGATCATTTATCCATCAACACTTACCCCGTAGTTAGCGTAGTATTCAACGTAGTCAAATGTATAGTCAGTTCACTAG